TTTGATAGACGTGCCCACCACCTATGAGTAGCGCCAGACGTTTGTTATTTGCAATACAAACACCGCCCGGGCTTTCACCTGTGTAGTAAACTGTACTGAAGTAACTTATTCTCATATCTTTAGAAACGAAAAATACAAAACTGAAAGAAATATCAAAATATGTTCATAATTAGCCAAGTTATTGTAATTTGAAATTAACCAACACTGCAGGACTTGTTATTTACAATATTAGGACTGCCCGGGCGTTATCCTGTAAAGTTAATTTAATCTAAGTACTTTACTCGGGTTATTTAATGAATGAGAAACAAAACATAAAAGACAGTGTGAAAATATCTTCATCATAAAAAGATTTATGCTGATCTAACTTTAGATACTTCGCTACATTACGCTGAAGCTCATATCATGCGTGTTATTTGCAGTATCGGGACCGCCCGGGCTTTCATCTTTATCGTTAAGTCAATAATTACCCTGTATTTGTTAAGATGTGTGTGTTACTAACACAATGCTGACAAAAATCTTACCATTAGCTAGATTTAAACGTAACCAGAAAAAAAATAATCGTTCAGTTGCTGATGTATATATAACACCAGTGAAAAAATAGGAGAATACGTTATTTTTTGGCATAGTTATGTTGTTTTGAAACTAGTTACTTCTCAACCGTACGATTAAGCTGAAATTATGAGTGTTATTTGTAACATCGGGTTCGCCCGGGCCTTCGCCAGTATCAGTATTTGCTCAACTAAAACTCTTCTGGTGTTGAATGAGTCTTCTGAGAAATTGTGAGATTTTGTTAAAAATTGGCACAGTTATGATGTTTTTAAATTAGTTACATCTCAAACATACGCTATTATATAAAGCTGAAAACGCGCGTGTTATATCGTCAGCTCAGTTAAACGTCTTAACCGTTTAGATGTGGATGCATAAATAAACTAAACGAAGCTCTGTAGTCATGCATATACATTTACAGAGAGTAAAATACTGCAGAAAGTGTAGCATGACAAAGAAAACAAGGACACAAAAAGGACACATTCTTTACGTAAGAAGTCTTTACGTAAAACCACAAAGTTCCAGTGAGTAATAGAATTAGTATCATTAGATTCATCACTTGGATTTCATATTTCGACTCGCTATTCCAAAATGTAACATGTAGACGTTAGGGACGTTAGTCAACAACTATCTATGGGGGCTGAAAATGGTCATATCTGGACAAAGCACAAGGAGCAAAAATGGCCTTAATCAGCCTTCATAACCACTAGATATTGTTGTCCAGCTCTAGCCACGTGGAGGCCTCCCATTATGTAGAGCCGTATCAGAATTCGCACTTTCCTTAAACTATCAATTAAAATTGAAAAATGAATCATTTGTATTAACCACAAATATGTCTGAAATATATACGACATAACAAACTCATATATATTCAGATGTATTTTCACTTTTTTGGGGGGATATATAATGTGGCATGGTGCGAATTCTGATGTCTGTCTGTCTGTCTGTCGGTCTGCCTGCCTGCCGGCCCTGCCTGCCTGCCGGCCTGCCTGTCTGTCGGTCTGTCGGTCGGATTTGTATGTTGCATTCAGCGAAGAGTGACACGCCAACACGATACCCGTCAATCTAGTACACCAATCACATACATGTCTAAAATATTTAAAACAACAATAATCTACATATTCAGGTGTGTTTTTCAATTTTGATGTGTTATATTGTAGCAAGGTTGAAAGTTTGATTTCTGTCCGTCCGTCTGTCTGTCTGTTTTGTAAACTGCACTCACTGTAGGACACAGCAGCACGATTCCTGTTTATCTTGTACATCAATCAATGGCCTGTCTCAGATATTTATGAATCATATTTTCAACTTGTTTTTCTTCAATTTTGTTTGTTATCATAATATGGCCAGGTTCATATTCTGTTGTCTGTCTGTCTCTGTGTCCGTGTTAGGGTTTATATCAGTATTTCTGACTGTCTGTTTGTCTGTCTGTCTGTCTAATATATTGCGCTCAGGCTATCCTCATTGCAACACGAAAGATTCCCGTTTAAATTTCTTCTCCCTTAAATAGTATACATAGATCTGATTATAAATAGAAGAGATAATAATGAAAATGTATTTATCATTTATAAGACCAATTCTGGAATACGCTGACATAGTCTGGGACAATATACCAAATTATCTAAGTGAGAAATTAGAAAGTATGCAACTAGAGGCAGCCAGAATTGCTACAGGGGGTACCAAATTAGCTAATATAGAACTTCTATATAGAGACACCAAATGAAAACACAAATTAATACAGTATCATAAAATGGTCAACAAAATATCGCCGAACTATCTATCTTCTCTAGTCCCTTCAAGAATTTCTGACAGCCATACATACAATACAAGATCCGACTTACATAAAACTGTACAAACACGAACGAACTTATATAATGAATCTTTTTTACCTTCTTCAATTCGCCTCTGGAATGAACTACCACTAAATATCAGAGAAAATTCATCAGTTAAGGTACTAAAAACACATCTTGATAATAACAGTATCAGACATGCACCAAACTATTTTTATACTGGTAATCGCAAAGGTCAAATACTCCATGCTAGACTCCGACTACAATGTAGCTCATTAAACCAACATTTATATTCCACAAAACCTTTCTGACTCACCTTGTTGTGTTTGTGGCTTTCCGATAGAGGACAACTTTCATTTTTTATTTACTTGTGTTAATTATTCTCGTAACAGACAGCAGTACTTATCTGATATAATCTTAAAA